AACGGTGAGCCACGTGATCTTTTCGTCCGTCGACTCCCGTCGCTCGTCGGACTTCGCTGACGGCGCCTTGCGCCCGAGGCGAACGCTCACCTTTTGTTGCCCCGCTGCGCACGCACGGCCGGAAGGGTGGTACGGTGTCCTAGTGCGTGGTCTGTCTCCCGTCTCCCTCCGAAGCCAACGCGAGCGCCTTTGCCCTCGCTCGAGCAACCGGGCCTTGGTCCCGGTGTCTCCGTGGATCACCTTTACCGCGGAGACGTGCTCGTGATACCCTGTGTAATACTTTTGTGCCCGTGGCGTGGATAAGCCTATTTGCTTTCCCGCCGCGCCTTTTGCAACGGGCTGTACTGCGTTTGGTGTTGTCCACAATAAAGTGTTGCGACTTTGAGCAGTATAGTGTTCTCGCCACGGCGACGGTTAACGCGTGCCCTGCGGCTCGCTAAGACCGGACCCACGCTGGTGGCCGTACTCCTTCGGGATACGTGTACACCACAAAGTTGACAGTTGTCGGCGCTGGACATTTCCGCGCGCAACCTCTCTTGCCAGGAGAATGCTAAAGCCGAAGTAGAAGTGCTTTGCAAGCTTGAAAGTAAACATTCGACAGAAGTCTGTCTGGTTGGGTATGAAACTGGGAAATGATTTAGACTCCAACCAAGAGTTTTGAAGAAACCCGATGTTTCGGAACCGACTTGGTTCCTTCCTCAGGGGTGACTGCAGAGGCTACTAGCAGCGTCGTCTTCAAAGCACTCGCGGGGTGGCTAATGACCCCCCCCCCTCTCTCTCTCTCTCGTTTTGGCGTGGAGCGCAGTCCGTGTGAATACACTGGGGGAAGGGTTCCGAGAGAGCGGTTGATATTATGGGCTGTCCTCTGTATGTGCCACGACTCGAGCAACAACCTTCTCCTCCAGTTCGGCTCGCTTTCGAGGATGGCTGTCACTTCGAAATTTATTTTGTGATCTAACTTCTCAGCATGTTCGACGACTGCGCTGCGCTCTTTGTAGAAATTCTGCACATCGTTGGCGTGTTGCTGCAATCGTTCTGGTAGGTTTTTTCGTCTTGCCGATATACGACGAGGGGCACTCAGCACACGGAATTTTGTAAACGACACCGGGGCGCCTGTCCATTGTTGGCCGGCCTTTCGGGCGGGGCAGGAGGCGGCCCAGCGTACACGAAGGCACGTGCGCGATGCGAACTCCTTCCTTCCTGAAGATTCGCGCTAACATCTCGCAGGTTCCCTGAACGTATGAAACCGGTACGCGTTTCGGGGGGCTGCCAATTGAAGTTGATTGGTGTTTTCGTATCCTCTGTTGCTCTGCGCGGCGGGTGGTGGTTCAAATGAAGTTTTTTGGGTATCCGTTTTTTCTGAGGTCAGCAATTACGCGGGCCTCCTCTTTCTTTTGCTTGATGTCATTAGAGCATAAGTTCCTAGCTCTCTCGAGCAGTGTGGTCACAACCAAAACCTTGTGGCAGGTGGGGTGGGAAGAATCGAATTGAAGGTAGCGGCTAGTGTGCGTTGGCTTCCTATGAACAGAGAACTCAAGGCCGTTGTGCTTTCTTGCCACCTGGATGTCGAGAAAGGGCAGGCAGTGGTCGCTTTCACACTTGGTCGTGAATTGTATGGCTAGGTGCACAGAATTTAGGTGTTGTCTGAAGTTTTCAACTTCAACCGTCTTAATGACGCAAAAGCAATCGTCCACATAACACAGAAAAAGCTTGGGTCGCGACGAGAAGGAGCTGAGTGCTTTCTCTTCTATGTACTCCATGGTCAGGTTTGCCATCGTGACGGAGATGGAAGCTCCCATCGGGGTTCCACTGTTCTGCCTGAAAATAGTTCCTTTGTAGGAGAAGTACGTACTGGAGAGGCAGAACTCCAGTAGACGACAGAGCTCGTCAACCGCCAAAGGAGTCCTTTCACTCAGGCTTGCGTCCTCCTCAAGCGCAGCACGGGCAGCGGAGACAGCTAAGGGAACTGGCACGTTGGTGAACAATGAAATGACGTCAAATGAGACCATGCTCTAGTCATCACCGATGCTTACATTTGACGCTAGCTGCACAAAGTGGCTGGCGTCACGGACATGAGTTGGTGTCTTCCGGGTTAGTGGGGAGAAGATTTGGTGTAGAATATTTGAATGGGCTCGGCATGGGGAGGAAGTGATGTCTACAATCGATCAGAGGGGGACGTCAGGCTTGTGAATTTTTGGTAGTCTATAAAAACTCAGTGCGGATCCGTTATGGCAGATTAGTCGCAGGCAAAGTGTTCTGAGATCCGGGTAATGCTTGAAAATTTCCGCGAGTAGCTTGTTTAGCTGTGTCTGGGTTTGCTTCGTTGGGTCCTTTAGTAGCTGCATGTATGCGTCCCCTTCTAAAAGAGCTGAAACCTTCGATCGTAGTCCCCGCTGTCCAACACCACCGTCCAATTGCCCTCGTCGGCGGGCAAGATGCCAACGCTTCGACCCCCTCGGAGTTCCCGAAGTGCCTGGTTCTCCTCCATGGTCAAGTTCTTTTTTCTTTGTGACGGTAATTTTGAAAGGATCCCAATTGATTTCGGCCTAATTTCTTCTCTGGCGCTCGGCCTTCACGTTTTGGACGGCTTCCTCTACAGCTGCGACAAGTTTCGATAGACGGGGCGTCGTTGACATGTTATAGCCATGTCCCTTTACCAGGACAGAAGTTTCCCGATCAGTGAGTGGACGAGATGAAAGATTGGTGACAAACTTTGAATTTTGGGTGCTTTGGGTGGAACTCCAGTCCAACAGGTGGGAGAGTTTCTTATCCTGAGTGGTCCGGAGCTTTTTTGCTGTTGATGCTGCAACGGAGCTCGTGAACGCGTCGACCGCAGATATCAACTCAGGGATGCGGTACTCAAGTTGATGCTTGGCGAAGAACATGTCCAGTTCTTTTTTCCGTAGAGAGGAAATGCACATGCGCCACTGCATGGAGAGCCCTCCGTTTATTTAGCTTTCATTAATTCAAACTTCTTTTAATTTGAACAAATTTTCGGGCCCCTTCGAGTTCGAATTATCGAGATTTGACTGTATTAAGTAGACGTTGATTGTTGAAATGGAGGTCCAGAAATCTCGTAGTACAGTCGCCGATTGCTTATTTGGATGCCGAAAATTCGGACATGCCTGTTTATTCGGACATCTTCATGGCACTGCCACTCGCCCCATTGATCCTAATGTAAACTCATGACCGAAAATTCAGACGCCCCACTGTGCGCCATTCGATTATTCGGATTCCGTTTAACTGACCGGATGCGTTGACGTACGCCATTACACGCTGACAGCAACGTTAACAATATGTTTGCTAGGTTGCCAGCACTGATATGCTGCACTAGCTATGGATGGACGTCGGGCCAGTGTCAAAATGCACGCAGAAATCGCCATTGCCGATCTCAAAGGCTATGTGTGGCGACACGTTTTTTAAATGATTTTAGCCAGTCAAGCGGCCAAGCTAAGCCACCTACGGAGTCTGTTCGCTGTGGCGTTTGGGGTGCGTCAGCGGTGTCAGTCAGCTGCTTCTGCGGCTAGGCCAGGTTCCTCTTGTTCTCTGTGTTCTCGCTCTCTTGCGTGTTTCGTGGCGTGCTGAAATCGCCCCGACGCCACCCGTTGCTGCGCCGTCGGGAGTGAAGAAACGCGGCCAACATGGGAGCTACAAGATGCTCACGATGGAGAAGAAAGCGGAGATAATTCGCCAGGTAGAAGACGGCCGACCTCAGTCTGAAGTGGCTCGGGAATTTTCTATTTCCAAGCAAACCGTCTTGGAAGCGTGCGTGTGTGGACTAGACAGTTTTTTTGGGCGATAGGGCCTATAAAAGTGCTTTTGTTTTAGAGTGAATCCGTTTTTTCGGACTCCTGATTATTCGGACTTCTCGGCAGTTCCCGTCGAGTCCGAATAAACGGTCGGTGACTGTATTACTTTTCTGCCAAAGAAGAGCCTACTTTGAAATGAAATCCCGTTTTAGTGCTCTGCATTGGGTTAGCGCACTTCAAATTACCTGCCTCAAGAAGCGGACCGACCGGACCGTCTCACGTCACTGTTGCGGTGCACAACGTTGCCTGGCTTTATTGCACCTGTAGCAGCAGACAGAAAGCAGCGGGAGCCGCAGCAGCAACAACGGCCATTTATCAATTTACCGCCACTGGCTTCGAGATCGCAGATGCTTTTGTTTAAACTGTGCCCCGCTAGATGGCACCACCTGTCCCGTGTAACCACGCGAAAATTGAATTTTTAAACCATCTTGCCATTCCCCATAGTACCGTCTGGCGGTTCTTTCTTCCATGAATCTAACAGAAACGAACAAGCAGCATTTTATTGCATTTCTTGATGCACAGAAGGTTCTTTATATAGTGCAGTTAGATCGATTACTAGTGATTAATTGTAGGCGGTCCGTCTGATGTCATCGGGATCGAAATTTTGAAAATGTCCTACAGCAGCACTTGTGTTCTTGTGCATTTACCTTCATTTCTCGGTAAGTAGGGCACTGTTGTTGATAATATTGTCGTTTTAGATGTTGTCATACATTGGGCTTTCACTCTGATGTAAATTGTTATTTGACTTTAGTGTCCCGTTAAGCACCCTAGGCTCGTCCATGTGGCACCCTAAATGGCATTGAAATTCTGGGCATTAGAAAGCAAATGACATTGTGTGTGCCAGTGTTAGCCAGAGCAAAATTTGGCTGCAGCTAACCTAATTATACTGGTCTCCCAGTTTGCACCAAGACTTCTAAATGTGCACCTCTACTCTTTTACTAGCAGGAAAAAAAATGCTTGTTGGTGAATTTCGGTCAATGCAATCATACTCTAGCACTCACACTTAATTTACTGCTTTAATTTCTATCATTAGGGCATATTTCTGGGTGCAAAATAATTGTTATTCTCGCCTACATTCTTACAAAACCTCCCCTGCAGAGCAACTGCTCAACTCTTATAGTTCGGATAAGTATAAAGAGAAAAGAAAAAGCACCAGGATCAAATGAGTCATTGGGCTGGATGGCCACTCACCTTCCAAAGCTATCACAGGCAAAGCAGTCAGCGCCTCGATCAAAGAGCAACTGCAGGGTTTCTTGATTGCTTCACAAGAAATAAGGAAATAAAAAAAAACATTTAACACTGTGTGACATGTCTCAAGGCAACTTGCACACACACACAGATCTGTATGCGAACTAACATATACACAAATGCACACATTTGAAAACCACTACCATGTCATGTTATTAGCAGAGAAGTTATCTATCAAACACCTTGCAACACTTTTGAAGCGACTACATATCAAAGTCAATGCATGTGGCATCCCTACATTGCAAGCATGTGAGCAGAAAAAGACTCCGTCAGCTGCAATGTAACGGGTATTTCAAAATTTAGACTATTTGCAGACCCATAGTTGCTGCACAGACTGAGAAATTATAATTTGCGCACAGTTTTCAAAACATGACCACACCAGCTCTTTGATGGAACTCTGTCAAAGAACTATTCGCACGTTATTTATGGCTCATGGAACATCTGTGCCCGCATGCATAGTGTCTGTGCACGCTGATGTGCCAAAACGTCACTACTCACCCGCCGTATGCGGCAGAATGCAAAGCTGTCCGCCCTTGGTCGTCTCTGGCGTCAACCTTTGCACCAGCGTGGAGAAGCTTGCGGCAACAGTCGGTATACCCACCTAAGGCAGCCATGTGCAGCGGTGTCATTCCCGCAGAGCCATGACTGCAAATGGCAAGCAGCATCAAATCTAACACCTACTCCCAAGAATGTGGACAAAAGAGCAGTGAAATTCTGCACATAGAGCGATCTGTACCACAAGTTAGGTAGCTGAACGGCTTCACAAATGGACACACTGTATCATGCATTGCATGGACTGCTGTGACTACACAGACAATGAATTGAATTGTGGAAGAGCTATATCGGCTTCCTTTCACGCTTGTTGTATGTACGGAATGGACTAACTGCAAAAAAGGTTATGTCTCTCGAATGAGTTCAATAAACTAGAAAATTATATGCAGTATTACAAATAATGGTGATGAGACCATGATGGCCAGAAATTATGTACATATGGAAGACTCCTGTTAATATAAACTTGACAAGACCATGAATGTTTGCTCGTCTTATCGTGAGTTAGGCTAGCCAGAAACGCCCCCGAAAAGCCAAATTCACCCGAATATGTTGCTTGTAAATACTGAATGAGGTGGACTAACGATGGGGAGAAACCAACAAGAAAAAACATTTATTTGGCTCACTGTGATTACCGTATTTACTCGATTCTACCGCGCCCTCGATTGTAACGCGCACCCGATTTCCATTGCGAAAAAAAAAAAAAAAAACGTAAGACATCGATTGCAACGCGCACCCATTTTTTCTCGCTGGCCCGCATGATCACACCACTCGAAAAAACGACTCCTTTCGGGAGCGTCTTCCATTTAAATATGAGGTACGGGCGAAGCTTGTGCCCATCTGACGTGTAACAGAGCATTGCCGTCACTGTAGTTTTACCGTGGACCGATGTCAGCACGCGAACTTGCTTCGCCCCCTTCTTCTCGACGGTTGTGGTGCCAGGCATGTCGAAGTAAAGAGGCGTCTGATCGGCATTCCCGATTTGCCCAAGCAGGTAGTCGTTGTTGCGCCGCAAGTTTAGGACGAACCTCTGAATACTGTGAAGCTTTTCATCGTACTCCTCCGCAAAACTTTTCGCATATGCATGTTCCCCTTCGGAGGGAAAAGCCTTTCCTCTTCATAAAGTTAGTTAGCCAGAACCTGCTCGCTTTAAACTGGCTCCGCATTAGACCTTTTTCTAAGGCTAATTGCATAGCCCGCACTTGGAGCAGTTCTGTCATCACGGGCCGCCGTGCCGCTCGCTGCTCAAGCACATACTCGCCGAGCAGCTCTTTAATTTGCGGAAACCGACCCTGCTGTGGTCCACTGAAGCCTTTGCGTGAAGCTTTGCTGTCGACAATCTTCTGCTTTTGTTTCTGCCAGTCCCGTACACGTTTCGGGAACTCCGAACGACCGCGATGCAACCCGATTTACGTCCGTTTCGGCACACGCGATGACTTTTCTTTTAAAAGCGGCACCGTGGTGCACTCGTCGAGTTATGCCGACGCATGTAGGGGGCGGCAATTTTGGAATTCCGATGGCAATAGAACGACCGTATTCATTTTTTTTTTCATACTCGATTCTAACGCGCATGCGATTTATGAACTCGCTTAACCGGAAAAAAGGTGCGGGTTAGATTCGAGTAATTGCGGTAAATCGATACCTTCACGTGCCATATTTCACCAATTTCAAGGATTCATAATGAAAACACACAATGGCATAGTTACCACATTTCAACAATGAAATTGACATGCTTTTGAGCTTACAATTGCGTATACAGTAAAACCTCGATAATTCGAAGCCCGCCGGACTGCGAAAATTCTTCGAATCAAGCGGAATTTTTAATTAACCAAAATGAAGAAAAAAAAGCAAACACCACAAGATGAAATCACATTATTTTTTTTGCAAAAAAAAAAGGTTATTGGACATAATCGGTGATACTAGATTGCTTATTGCGGTAGTTTGCCGCCCCAAGTGCCATGTTCTCAAACCTGCTCACAATACTCAGCATTTCACTGTCACCCCTGTTGCACTCTACAAAGCTGCAGAAGGTGTTCAGGGCATTGACAACTGAGGCCAAAGCAGGCGGGCTCATTATTGTCACCATCATCGCCGACTTGCTCACTGTCGGTGACGTCCTCGTGCACATCAGCGTATGATGTTTGTACAGCCGCCTCAACACTGGAATACTCCCCGAAGCCTAGTCCCTCGCTGTCGCCAGAGTCAGTATTCCAGGCACACATCGAGTCTCCCTCGTAGTCTAGGCTGGACGAGTTGCAATCTTCATCAAGATCTTCGCCCCCTTGTTTGCAGAACCCGGCGTGTTCAAAACAACGCTAGATAACCTTTGGCTCCAACTCATTCCAGGCAAAGGCAATTAAACAAATCGCACCAAGCTGATCGATGTGGTATTGCTTCCCAATGTCGAAGCAAAGCAGAACCCGCTTCAATAGGTGGTGGCGGTAAATCTTCCTCGTTTGCAGGATCACCCTTTGGTTCATCGGCTGTGATATGGCCGTAGTATTTGCCAGGAGGAAGACGATCTTGACAGCTTCCAGGTTTCTGATGTCCCCGTGGGCCGGGTAATTATCAATAACAAAGAGCACCTTCAGTCCTTTGACGGCAAACTTACGATCGAGGAACCGTACGTATTTCTCAAATATCGCTGTCGTCCAGGCCTTCTTGTTATGTCTGTACATGACAAATCCTCGGAGGAAGGCACGCGTTCTTAAAGCACCTAGGCTTATCCGAACGGTTGATTGCGAGCAGGGGAAGCTTGTGGGTTCCAGACATGTTCGCACTGAACAATATATTCTTTCCTTGGAATGCTTTCTCCCCGAGACAGTGGAGTCCTTGGCAGCAAATGTTTTCGTAGGAAGCATCTTGTAGAACAAGGCTGCCTCATCCAAGTTGCAGACATTGTCCTCCCCAAACTCCTGAAGCAGCAATGCCAGCGTGCATATCTGCCAGTTGTCAACGACGTTCGTGTCAGCGCTGCCGCTTTCCCCGCACACAGTCAAGTATGTACAGTTATTTCGCTCTTTAAATCGGGTGAACCAACCATTACTGCACTTAAAACCTTCATGGCCAAAGCGCCGTGCCAGGTCATCGGCCTTCTAAGGATGGTGGCGTTCACGGGAAGATGAGCTGCGTTTGCGTGCTGCAGCCACTTCATCAAGGTGACCTCAACGTCCGAGTACGTTGGAAGCGAATCCTTGATCGCTTTGACGAATGCGTTTTCCCATATGCCTTGAGCATATGTTTGTCAGCGTCTTGTACTTTGGGATCGTGAGTCCGAAAAGCGGTCAGGACTTCGCACGCGACACAAGCAGGCGTAGGAGGCGAAGTAAACAAGACCAATGGTCGGAAGCATGCGAGCTATGTGAAAAACATGAAACGGAATGCACGAAAAACGGTGAAACGTAAAAAACGAGAACGTCGAAAACACGAAACTAAGAACGCATTTTAACCTATATCCGGTACTCCAACAATAACGACCTCCGAGCTAAGCATCGCCGGAAGGCCGTTTCACGTCCGTTGCTGCCGGTGGGAATTACGAATTATCCAATAAAACCCCGCAGGTTGTTCAAATAATCCGGTAAAATTTGCATTGAGAAACACAGGACCACAGAAGTTCTTCGAAATAACCGAAATTTCAAATTATGCGAGTTCGAATTAGCGAAGTTTTACTGTATGTGTGTGTCTGCACGTGTGTAGACAGAGAGAAAACCACAGTTTATCTTCTAAGGTTTGGAAATTTATTCTCTTGGCAGTTCATTTTCCTCTGTGATTTGTGTTTTGCCAGATTACGTGTCATTACTTTAACATAGCCAAAAACAACTGAAGTGCGCTAAGTAAGTTTGCAAGCTTGTCTAAGAGGTCTTGATATTTTCCAGTAGTCGGCCTGAAGTAACTTTGCCAGAGTGATGGCTAGCTGAAGATGTCCCCTTGTGCTATCCAAAGTTACGGGCCTCATGAATATGCAAGTGCACATGCATCCCGTAAAAGAAAATAAAAACACACAAACAAGAAAAGGATGCATCATACGTGTCACAGGCAGCTCCAGCCAGCAGCAGTCCCCCAAGCAACAGGTCATGCCCATGGCGGGCAGCAACATGCAGCGCTGTGCAGCCCTGCACATCTTGAGCATCAACATGGGCACCGGCTTCCAACAGAGTCTGGGCACGGCTGCAGCGGCCGTGTATTGCAGCCATGTGCAATGGTGTGCGGCCATCCTGGCTGGGGCAGTTCACTACGGCACCTCTGTGACGCAGGAGAACCTCGAGACAGCCAGCACCGTGTGTTGAGGCTGCCGCGTAATGCAACGGTGTCTGCAAGCAGACCAGTGCAACCGCGAGAAAAATGTTGAGATATGTAGGGGTATCGAAGAACTTAGAAGAGTGGCTTGCTGAGCGAGCTGCTACTGCATCATCTCAGAAATTGGTGCAAAAGACTGAGACAAGAAAAGGACCACACGTATGCAGTGCAAACTATCAACCATATTTTACTGAAAAACACACACATCACACTTAAAGAGTACGGCTGCATGACTTCTTTCAGAAGCTAGGGTTTTCTCAAGTCCAAAAAGAAATGTTGCACAAGAATTTGAAGCATTTTTTTTCTTAACAGTAGGCTTGTGTGAATAGTGAAGATTAGGTTTGACGCAAATTCAAACAGTACATATCACATATTATAATGAAAAAATATCTACATATTTGTCATAAGCCAGCCAACCTGCACAACATTAATTAAATATTTAAGCAAAGCATGAGCAAATGTCATTCTTTTTGGTTCAAAGGAAGTGGAAACAACTTTTAATAGTTGCAGGATTTGACTTTTCGCAAAATGCAAGTGATAATCTGTAAAATATGTTTAATTTAAAATTTACTATACTTACAGCATATAAGCTTGTATAAAAAGCTTTTAAACTAAAAAATGCTGAATTGAAGAGAGGGTAATATGTTCATTCAAGCTTAAGGGGGGACGTGGCAAGTAAAACTAATTTTTTTATTAATGTACTGTTTGTGATGAAATTTGGTGTGTGTATGTGGATGATTGTGAGGATTCCAAATATGAAAACCGTTTTCAAATACCTCTTGTACTTTTTGAGTTACAAGCATAATTATACTAATTAATGCTCTTCACACTTAAAGAGATAATTATTGCTAAATGAAATTATTTTTTCATATTATTATGTTCCCAAAGCATCAACTTGTGCAAAGAAGCTATTAGTTGATTTTTCTAGTTCTTGTAACCATAAATAAAATTTCCAAAACATGGATGTTGTTTTGCGCACACATTGCAGTAATTATAAAATGTGTTCTAAAATTTTAAATGATGAGTAAGAAGAGAGATAAAGCTTTATTGCACTGCTAAAGGCCTCCTGAGCCTAGTGCAAAAAACGGAACGACTCTATCAGTCTTTGTTAGAAAATGACAGATGTTCTAGCGAAGGCACATAGGCGAAAATCAAGAGTTGAGAAAACTGACTTTGAAAGTTCACTCTTGTTTGGAAGTTCACAACATGCCTAAAACACTCAGAATCCTCCTGGGCAGTAATCCTGAGATGCTGTGGCCTTGGCCTCTGTAGAGCGCAACCCAGTTTTGCGCTTCTTTGTCGTGGAACAATGCGCCTTTTGAGCCCTCTTTACCCTTTTGGCATCCTTTTCGGCTGCTCGCCGCAAAGAGCAGTCTCCTGGATTGAAGCCCAGTTGAGCAGTGATCTCTTGCAGCGCACTCTTGCAGCCACCATTGAAACGGCAGACTGCATCTGCAACTGCACTTTCCACACTTCGAAGGGAGGCGAACTGGCTCTTGGACTGGAGTGACCAAATGAGGCTGTTCATACTCTCCACAGCGTTCTGGGTTTTTCCCTGCGCACACCTTTCAAGGAGCTCTTTGTTCGAGAGGCGCTTGTAGATTGGCATCAGTGCCACTCGCACGTGAGGGGGCAGTTTATGTTTGTGAGGCGGCAGCGGCTCTCCCTTGGCCAATGCCTGATTGTGCGGGCACCAGGAGTCAGTCCCACTTGGGCACAGGTTGTGGTGTGGATCCTGGTCTGTGGATGTTACATGGTAATAAGTGGCCATGATGGCCCTCTCCATGCCAGGAACATCATTGGGGTGGCTCTTAATGGCCCAGCCATAATAATTCGTCAACTTCTTTATCAGGCCCTGCGTCAGCCGGCCTTTGCCACCCATGCTCAGTCCTCGGCCTTTGGATTTGTGCTCATCAAGAAGGTTGCGCAAGGAAGTGCCCATTCTTTTTTTCACATGGTTCACACACTCCTGTTTCTTAATCACCATGTAGCCATACACCTTGTCTTGCGTGAGGGCAAGGTACGTACGGCTGTCACCGTCGCAGAGCACATTGATGTATCGAAGCTTGTACTTGGTAAACGATCTTTCAAACATGATCCTAGCTGCTTCTACTTCCATTTGGCCTGCATTAGCATCGGTGTTCTTTTGGCACTGTGGCTTGTGTTTCTCAAGCCACTCCTCATAGTTGTCGTCACCAGGCTTGGGGCCAACAGCACAGCCTTGGCAGTAGTTGGACAGGACACAGTGGTCCAAGACCAAGCCTGTGTACAGCTCGATTACACAGCCCACGCCAATATGACTTCTGTGCCCCCTCGTCATCCACGTGCCGTCGTAAATGACGTCAATGTTGGCTGGCACTCCTCCTAGGTCCTTGTAAATGTCATGCACCTTCTGTGCACTTTCTGCTTCAATGCGGGTGGCAGCTGATGTGGTGGCAGGGTGGCTGTACTTCCTTTGCAGCCTCTGGTAGGACTTGTGGTGCAGTGCTCGATGCGAAATGTCCATCGCAGAAAAAATGTCATTTATGGCAGATTGTTTTCTGCCAACTGACTGCACAGCCCTCAAAGCACGCACGTTTACCTCAAAGGGGTTCGTTTTTTGTTGCCCGGAGCACCTCGGGGACGACCACGTACTGTTCACTCTGCCACAATTGTCACAAAAAAGTTCCATCCTCGCCGCGAGTCCAAGGCAGTGCGTAGTCTCGAGGCGTATCGACCCTTCGTCGCACTTGTTGCACTTTACTGACGAAAGCAGACCGTTCAGCATCTTCTTATTTACAATGAAGAATGTGGAGTCCTTACCGCCGTCATTTTCGTCGCAGCCTTCGTTCAGAAGCTCGAGCTTCCGCTTTGAAGCGGACTTCGATGCTACGTCATCCAAAACATCCCGCCTTGTCTGCGCCCGCTGCGCGATTTCTTCACTGCTCGGAATCTGGGCCGAAACTCGCGATAGAATGTTCGACGCGCGCACGCCCGGAGTTGCAACGGCTGCCGACGCGGTGCCACCGCAATCGGGTTCGCGAGAGCGTCCATCACGGTCGACGGCATCCGGCGGTCTGACATACGACGATGTGGCACCTTCCACACTCTCGGCCTCACAACAATCAGCGGAGGGTCTGAGTAGAGGCTCCGTGACGCTTGAAGAGCATGCTCCGTCCGGAACTGCGACTGGGACGGCAGCCGCAGTCGTCTGCCCTTTGTTCCAAGCTTTCCGACGCTTGCCGTACTTGTGGACGCTCCGGAACTTTTTTTGCGGCAACATAGCACCGCAGTATGAGCAAGCACTCAGAAGAGACCACCGATGTAAACAAAGCTTGGTAAAAAAAGCACGCGAACTATCACAAAAGCAGCAAACTGGCAAAAAACGAAGCGCACGCCGGATGATTCTCGACACGGCGGCCGCAGATGCGCTCGCGCTTCCAAGGTTGCCAAGGTGCGCGGCGCAGCTTTGACCAGTAAGAGGTCGCGCCTGCTACCACGTGACCCGCGCAGCCAATTGCCGTTCTTCGTTTCGTTTTTTTACTTGCTCCTCGCGCTTTTATTTTCACTCGGCGAAATACGAGACCGCGACCATCGGGAAGCCGGCTTTCTCCTCTTTCCAAAGCTACCAAAATGGCGGCCCACGGTCAACAACTTGGCGCGTTTGTGCGGCGTGAACAACACCGTTTCAGGGGCTTTTTTTTCGCACTTTTCGGCGACTAGCCTCGGCAAAAACACTATTTGCGGGATTTGTGGCGCACGTTTCGCTGTAATATTTTAGAACAAGGAAGTTGAAGGTCTGAAGATTACGAAAAAAAATAAATCAGAAAATCGCATATTTTGACCAAAATCGGCACTTTACTTGCCGCGCCCCCCCTTAAAGTAGGGTTTCGCAACAGTGTGAATGGCTTAGCACCCCTCCCTCAAGTGCAGTGAAGCCACCTTTACAGAGGGTTACATGTGGACTATATACCGTATTTACTCGCGTAATCCTCGCACCCGCATAATTCTCGCACCCCCCACATCGCCCAAGAAAAATAAGATTTTTTTTTTCCTTGAGTAATTATCGCACACCCGAAAACTGCCGCAAAAATGTCGTCAGCTCGTTCCAGCCACTGATGATGATAGCGCACCATCTCTTAAGCATCAAGCGTACTATTGCTTGGAGATTCAATCCAATCCAGGCCAAGCTGAAGTGGCCAGTGCACGTTGCGGCGTGTTTTGTTTGTTGTGTCGGTAATCTTGGCACGTTATGGGGCGATACTGAAGCTACACGGCTGCTTCAAGTTGCAAGTGATGGATCATGCACTAAACAACGGCAACAGGGCTGCCGGTAGGCTCTTCGGAGCCTACGAGTTTTGTGTTCGCTACTGGTGACGGCAGCTGAAAGCCACCAAGACGCGTTGGGCCTGCCGTCTGCCTTAAAACTGGGATTGATGGTAAACTTTATTTCTTCAGAAGGAAACTGCGGACGATTCTGTTAAATAGCCATCAGCCCAATACTGATGCCCTACGCTTACCTTTTGAAGGCTCCTGTTGAGCGACGAACGCTACCGCTACGCCCGCAACGGCCACAAGCTTTGCGTGTGGTATTCTAATTCTCGACTATTTGCTTCCACTTTTTGTGTCTCAAATAAATCTTTTCTTGTGTTGAACCTCTGTTTTTTTTTGTTGAGGTAAGTTCTAATTAGTACTTCTTAGAGCTTGCTGTAAGCTGCTGGTGTGAGAGTCCCGATTTGTGGCCACTTCGTTTTCTTTTTCGCTCTCTACGTTTTCGTGGAAAGTTATCCCCGCGTAACTCCCGCACCCTTCAACTTTGCATTGGTTTTCAGACAAAAAAAGTGCGAGGATTATGCGAGTAAACACGGTACACCTACTAGTTTATTCTGAATACTTCGAAATTTTCAATAATTTAAATTCAAAGAGAAGTGAGTTCAAATATTCACACAAGCCTAATTAACAGAACCGATGGAAAATGAGTTACAAGGTGGTCTATCATGTTGCATAATACTGAATTATATTTTGTAAGCATTAT